TGCTTTTCCTGGCTCCCACGACCTGCGTTTCTGTCAATTTGTTGCCGATAGGAGCAAACACTTATTAAAGCCGGTGAGATTTACATCTAACAGACCCTAGTTTATCCTAGTGCAAATTTCATGTTTAACTTTTTTGGGTAACAAGCAGGTATCTGATTTGTAATATGTTAAAGCTCATAATAACGTCGTTTATAACGGTTTTATCGCAATTTCATTGTGAAAATCTAAGATTATCTAAAAAAAAATTAGAATTTCTGAGATTATTAAGAACATTTTTTAATTTTTTATACATATTGCAAGTCAGATATATCTTGAATTTCCAAAGGATCTTACAGTTTAACCGTAAGATTTGTTTTAGAAATATTTAGCCATTATCATTTTATCTAAGAGTTCAATATGCACAATACATTGGTTCGTATTTTTCTTTGCTTACATTATTAGTATATCATATGATAGAAAGATTTATAAAAAAGAAATATTAGCATATACGATTGGCAAATATAATGTTTCATCTGCTCTTGAATATTTTCATGAATGTTATTTATAGTTCATGGATAAAACACCCTGTTCTTATCACAAGTTACGTTGAATATATTAAATGAATATGATTGGATGTGAATTTAATGCATGTACTATGCAAACTGCTCGACTGATTGTACATACAATTTTTTTCACGAATAATGTATCCAATTTTAAACATTACACTTTTCATGTTCTGTCAGTATGAGGATCATAAGACTTGGATGTGTAGAGATCCATTACATTTCGTTATACAATATGAACCCACATTCGTGTATATGTGTCCACATATTAATTCAACGTTTACAAAACCCGTAGAGATAAACGTTAAAACAGCTAATTCTGCAAGCTAGTGAGCCAAAAAGTTTCAGCCGAATATTAGTTACAAATTGTTTTAACTGGAAACTCGCTGCAACGTTTGAAACGCATGCTACATGTTTATTATATGCAACTCCATTAAACCTTTGCGTTAACATAACACCCAGACTGCGTTATATCTTAATATTACTGAATGTGTTTATGAAGTTACGTTTTCTGCTGAAATATTACATCTATAAATGTATATATTTTTATCTTGAATCTTTTCATTCGTAAATTCAATCGATTGTATTCTATTCTGACAGATTCTGAAACATAAAATCGATGGAATCAGGAGAATCTCTTCCCATCCACTTTTACCATTATGTGAGTATATTTGTTACCTTGATAAACGCACGAATATACGTCCTACGAATTTCTCTTCTTCATGATCATACTGAAATAGCAGAAATTATAAAGTAATTAACATGTTTATTATTTTTTTATGTGGCAATATCAGATTTAACCGGATCACAAGATGGTTCTGTATCGTTATGGGAGTGGGGACATCAGACAGCCGTTGCTACTCCGAGAGCACCTGGTACTTTTGCCAAAGTGACTCGTGTGCGTTTTTCTCAGCACGGCAATAAGTTCGGCGTGGCTGATTCCGATGGTCATCTGAGTCTGTTCCAAGTGGCCTGCCGAGAAGGAACGGCTCGACCATTCTTTGTAAGAATCTTGTAATTTATTTTAAAAATGTTGAGAGTATATCATTCAATACGTTTATATCTTATCGGCATTGCCAAATCTGTTTCAGACTTATCAGTGCCACAGCAAAGTGACCTCGGATTTTGTCTTCCTTGGTGCATGCAGTCTTGTAGCCACCGCGGGTCATGGCTCAGAAGGACGGAATGTAGCGTTATGGGACACATTACTTCCGCAAAATAAATCTCTTGTACAAGGTACGAATATTCGATGTATATCACACACACATATATTTAACACGACTTGCTAAGAAATAATTATCCTTTCTTTAATTATGATGCGATTGTATTTCGTTAGGCTTCATGTGTCACGATCAGGGAGCCAGTGCGTTAATCTTGGCACCGCAGCATCAGCTGCTGATCAGCGGCGGTAAAAAAGGCGACATTAATATATTTGATGTGCGACAACGGCAACAAAGGCAGAGATTCCAAGCGCACGAATCGGCTATCAAATGTCTAGCGCTTGATCCGCACGAGGAATTTTTCGTTAGCGGGGCAGGTGATGGTGATATTAAGGTAAAAATATTTATCTCTTCAAATCGCGACTTCTCAATGAGGTGTCATATATTCCTTCGTTTCATACTGTAATGAGCGAACATTTTGTCCACAGATATGGGGTTTGACCGTCCATTCTCTCCTTTATTCGTTTCCTAGTGAACATCCACGATCTAGTTTCTTCAAAAACATAGGACAGGTACTATAATATTGCAATTACCGATTCGTTTAAACGCGAAACAGAGATATAACGTTATCATTTGTTGCCAGGGCGTTACTCAGTTACACGTGGATTCCGCGGGTCGATTGTTTTCATGTGGAGCAGATGGTTCGATGAAAGTCCGTCAACTGCCAGAACGCGATTGTGTAATACAAACGCTTTATTAGGATTAAAAAGGAGAAAAAAGTTGATGAAAAAGAAGTGAATACCGTGTAAGTATATTACGCAAAAGAGCCGATATTTATTGATTATGTATATATATATGTGTATATATATATATATACATATATACACATAAATATGAAAGGCGAATCGTTAAAGAAATCCGCGCAATTAATTGATTGCTGTTGTACGATATATCCACTACTTTTACATACGAACCGTGCAGACGGTACGGCATCTCTTTGCATGGCTAGTGTGTTGTGACAAGCTAATATATCGGGTGTTACATTTATAAATATATATATATATCGTTTCATCGAGAGCTACTTTATTACATAATAAAGTAGTGAATTCTGCACGAATATTGTTGTTGTTGTCCAAAACTGAAGCTCTTATAGTCTAAACATAGTGAAATGTAAAATCTATAATCTTAGATAGTCTCAAAGTGTTTCCCCGATCTAAGAAAAAAAGAAAAAAAAAGAAAACCAAAACAGCGAGCAGATACACAAATAACTGTAGCGCCAACAAAGCTGCGGAAACAGCACTGTGTTTTCCTTAAAGTGGATTTCGTATGGAGCAGCATATAATACTAATGATCATTCCTTTCACATGAAAGTAATATTAAACGATTCGATAAATAATATGTAATAATCTTCACGTACCTTCATATTTTAATATGTAATATATGTATTTATATAAAGATCAGTTAATGAATTCTACTATTTAGCGGCGGATAATTTAAAGACGATTTAGCCGATTTTCATAGCGGTTATTGATATAGAAAAACGAGATGTTTCTTTGTGTTAATAAGAAACTTTCTGTGTATTATTTGTTGAAATAGGGACAGTGCGTGCGTAATATAAGTTATTGTTCTGTAATATAGTTTGATAAATTAATTCGAACGGATCCTCATGTATTCAAGGTACCCCACTGATGCTTTTTTTCGTCTCATCGCTACTATATATATATAATATACAATATATTCATAAGATATGTAAAACACGACGGGCAATTTTGGATAATGAGTAAAATACAGAGGTTGAAATCTGTGTTGCCTTCTAATAAACTCTTTGTATCTCTTTATCTGAATATGTGTAATATAGTTACTTCATGAGAGAGAAATGTAACGCGTTTATCTTATCACGTATGTATTTACAGAATTATTTAAAATCGGCGATCACACAGCAAATGATAGAATAATAGCCCCGATGATTACGTTTTTTTAAAATTATTTAAATCTATTTAAACTTCACAAATATTTCACAGATTGCTAGATAAATGTATTTTTCTCATATCCAGTTTTGTAAATATCACGCGAATTGTGATCAAGCACCGTTCAATACGAACTTATTTGAAGATGTGTAACGCCATAATTTTTAAATTAGTATTGTTTCTGTCGCTATAAATTTTTCGCAAGTAATTGTTACTAGTATGATTCTGTTATAAAGTATATATATACCTAAAATTATGAGCTATAACAAAGGATTTATTTTTGTTAAATACACTTGTTGAATGACACTTTTATCGGTTTTCGTATATATACATATATAATCAAATTAAATCCGTTTGATTTATACATAATGCACTTATACGGATACTTATTGACTTTTGCACTTTATTTCAAAATTACAAAATTTATACCATATAACTATTACAGAAGGAATAAATAATTTATATAATCGCCTAATAATAATTTTAAGCAACTTTCTGTTATGGAATATTATGAAACTTTCTATATAAAAACAAAGCCAGTATTTATACAATGCATATACATATGATTATGTAATGTTTTATGTGAATTTTTATTTGAACCGCTGTATATATATACACAGTCGATGGCATTGTATACTCGATTATACAATAAATATGTGCAAATTATAAGTATCAGAAATATCCAGCTTTTAACAACATATGTATTATTCGTTATACAAATATTGTATTATTGTTAAGATTACAATAATACATGGTATTTTGCATAAGGATGGAGAATAATGGATATTCGGAATATATTTTGATTATACATAATTCTTTTATTTAAGTGATTTTCCGTAAGTTTTTTTCGTTATAATTGATATTATTCATAAAATATTTTTGAATACAACACAGTACTGTAGTTTATATTGTAATAGGAAAAAGTAGAACATATCTCGGTACGATTACGATAACCGTGGCTCCTCAAAATAAAAGTGAGTTTCAGAAGCATTTCTAGTGAGGAATACGAGAAAAATAGTAAAAAAATTCTCCAACCATTAGATTCCAAAATAACTAACAATTAAACGGAAAAATGGGGTGGACTTCACTTCGCGTAGAAAATCGTGCGCCCCATAGCAGGAAGGAGTGGGGAGGTGAGTGGAGAATGAGATCGTGCATTCCTTTACAGGGGGGAGGGATGAGAGTCGAAGGTGAAAGCCACCTAAACCTGTTGAAGGTCTTTCAGGCTCATGTGGAAGAGTCCTTTTAATGGATAATCATTGTTTATTAAAAAGTTATTATCAAATTGATCATGAAATTGAATTATGATTATCAAATTAAATATTGATTATAGAATTTTTTTACTATTTTTCCCGTGTTTCTTATTAAAAATACTTTCAAAAAGAACTTTAATTTTGAGGGGCCACGTATCGTAATCGTCACCATATCTCTATTGTAATGTGCACATCGACTTAATAATGATATTCTCATATATATCGATATTCTTTCACGGACGACAACGCTCCAGGAAACGCGGATATAAGCATACCTCACGTATGTGATACCTATTCAACAGCCAGCACAAAAGTCGTTCTAATCCCAATCCATAACCGCCATGAGGACAAGATCCATATTTCCGCTATAAAGTAACAATTGCTCGATTTGTTATTCCAAATACAGTTTAGAATTTATTTTCTTCATATTTACCTGGTCTGTATACCAGTAGTATGGAGTCGGATCAATGTTTTCACGTTTGTAACCCTCCATCAACTCCTTGTAATCCCAGGTACGCATTGAACCGCCCACAATTTCACCCACGTTTGGTAGAAGTACGTCGACAGACTCTGTTAAGCGTTTATCATCCTTGCAACGTTGCATGTAAAACGATTTAATTTCAGCGGGAAAACGACAAAGCATTATTGGCTCATTGATAGCGTCAGTCATTTTCCTTTCTGGCATTTCTGGAATGTCCTATAAAAGACGATAACAACTATATATTTTGTCTAGAAAGATAATGTAACAGACCTTAATTCATACTTCTCCAAACTCATAAAAGCTGCCATCTTCTTTTGTGATATTGTTTTCTCTCAGATATTCAATTGCATCACTGTAATTCATTCGTTTGAAAGGCTTCTTAGGTATTTGAAAGTTCGGATTCAATTCTTTGACAAGATGACCGAGAGGCGATTTCAGAACTCGCTCAACTACATCGCAAATTAAATCTTCTAATCGATCAAGTAGATCATCAAATGTAATAAATGGACATTCTGCTTCGATATGCGTATATCTAAAAATTCGATATTTAAAAAATAGTTACAAAAAGAGAGTAAGTATCTATTTTAATTTCTTTAATACAAAGAAATATTTGTATACAAACTCAGCAAGGTGGCGACGTGTTCTCGATTGCTCTGCCCGATACGATTGGGCAATGCAATATACATCTCCCATCGCTGGAATGCACGTTTCAAGATATAATTGAGAACTCTGAGTAAGAAAAGCAGTTTCCCTGAAAACAATATTAGTCAATTGACTCGTACACTGCACGGTGGGGGGGGGGGGGTTAATAATTCATTTTATTTATTATACATACCCAAAATAATCTAATTTGAAGAGAGTTGAACCACCTTCTACTTGGGTTTGCACCAAAGTTGGAGGAGTTACCTCGCAATAACCACGATTCTTATAATGATCTCTGACTGCTTGCGTTAATACAGATCTCATGATTAAGATTCTTGATGTCTGAAAAAAAAAAACTGATAATATATCAAAGATCTAATTGCAGAATGAATATTGATTAAAATTTAATAAAGATTATATTAAAAGCTCTCTATACAAGAGCATTAAAATTCTATTATACATTTTCGCCTCGAATCATTATATGCCTGTTGTCCAATTGTACATCAGGAAGAGCTTCTTCGTTCAAGATTGAATCGACACCACCAGGAGGTGACGGTCCAACAAGTTCCCAATAATCAACGGATAATTCGTGACCACCAGGTGCCTGAAATTAAATAAATAATGTATAAACATATCCAAATAAACAATACATAAATGATTTATATATTATGTATTAATTAAATATCAAATGTACATTTTTCCCTTCAGGAACAGCTTTCAAGATTCCAAACAGTTGAATAGCAGCTTCCGTGGCAAGAATCAAGGCATTGTACATTTGACAAAGTTTATCAGTCAGTACACACTGCAGAAAACCTGTTCCATCTCGCAATGTAATGAACATGAGAGCTTTGCCTATAGTAGAAATTGTTCAATAAATTATCACGATAGAAATAAATTCAATTATATCGTATACCTTGCCGTCTTAGTCTATGCACCCATCCATATAACTTGACTCTTTGATCTCTGTGATCAACAGCTTGTCTTATCTTGATTTCTTTTGCTTCTGGTAGAGTTTTATCCTCTTCTATAATAATTGATTTAGCTTCTTCAAGATTTTTCAATCTCTTTTCTTCATCTTCCAATAATTTCTTCTCCTTCTCGTCTTTCTTATAATGTTCTCTAACCCAAATCTTTTGTATTTTTTTTAACTGAGACTTAGATGCTGGTTCATATTTTTTGTCATTTTCACGAGAGTCCTGATAGATGATTGGAAAAGGTTCCTTATTGGCATGACGCATCGCTCTTAAGATAGTTTTAAAGGGGTTACTTTCTGAACCATCTCCTGTCTCGTCATTACCATGCTTTTCTGATGTATAGATACCTTGTAAAATATTTATTGGATACTTATTTCATTATACTGTTAATATTATGATATACATAAAAAATTAACCATATATAGCTTTATACTATCATTCATATTCTTATTATCATGTTTTGCTGCAGTTATCACTGGCTGTGATCCATTGCACATATAATGTGCACATGATATCATTTTATCATTGTTCGCAGAATTAAATACGACACCTCATGCATATTATGTGTACAACTGAACACAGCTACCATTGCTTGCTTTCCAGCAAGAACATAGTCAGACACTGTGTAACACAGTGAGTCGTTTTATCCTTGTTGTTTGCCAATGTTAAACAAAGATGGAACGACTCACTGTGTTACACAGTGTCTGACTGTGTCCTTGCTGGAAAGCAAGGTTTATTACATCAGTCTGATGCAACTCACCTGATAACACTTTCTCTGACATATTGATAAAATTATTTGATAGAAGTATATCACTGAAGAGCCTACAAAAAATGTTATATATTATTGAATTATAATTTTATAATATATTATGCTATCAGCAGCCATATGTAATATTTAAAAATATAGACTTAATTATAAAATATTGTAATTAACTAATTAATAGCGTTTTTCACTGACAGAACTGGGGTGTATTCAGTATACATTACAACTGTTGTACACTATTCTAATCTAAATGTAAAGCTAGTGTGCCGTAAGCCGTAGACAGTACCGAAATGGAAATGGTTCATTTCGCTTACGACTACTGTTACGGCCTAAAACTCTATTGTAGCTGGACTTTCAAACTTGACTATGAATACGGGCCTAAATTTATAAATGATAACATATTTCAAATTTATGATTATATTTTATAAAATAAAAACTCGTTTCCTTGACGATAAATACCTTTATTCAATATAAATGCAACAAAATGCAACGTACTACAAACTTTCTGAAATAATGGTTCTGCAAATAGCAACGTGAAAAACTAGAATACTGCAAACGACAGTCAACAATCATCAACAACTGTCGATCGTCGACCAATTGTCGACAACTGGCAAGTGACAAGCCGTCTGCAAGCTAAAAGGATGCAAGTGATGCAAGTTAGCTCATAATATTTCATGTATCGTAAGACGAACTTTTTAAGCCTGTTGATTGGCTGCAGAACAGAAAGGTCCGAGAATCTCTCTGTCCTACAGCCAATCAACAGGCTTGAAAAACCTTGCCGCTCTACACATGAAATATCACGGTTCCTATTACGTCACTGAAGTAATGATTTTTGATTGGTTGTCTAAATCCGCCATATGTAATAGTTAAAACAAGCGCAAATTTCAAATATTCCGCATTTGACATATTCCGCATTTAAACGTACCTTAGGATCAACATTTTAATTGCTTTGTCCACGTCATCCTTGACTTTACCCAAGAATGGCGCGTTTTTATTTTACAGCGATGTTATTAACACTTATGTCACGTGTTATGACATGTGTCATGTATCATTTGTGTCAGCAGTAGTCAATTTACATCTCACAAAATTGGTGTTACCAATAAACGCTAGCAGCTAGCCTTCAACAGAATAAGCGTAAGCTACGAAATTTTTTTGAATTTAGGAGAGAACGCAAAATTATTTTTAAAAAGTCTGAATTACAAGTTCTTCATTCTTTCGAAAGTCTTTTGTTTCATTCATTTATTATACGAATGTTATGTATTTGAAAACTCTTCAGAAGTTAAAAAAAGAAGTATAAATTTTAATAATAAATACTATTGTATTTTATATATAATCGATTGAAAATATATACATACAAAATTACATGTTTCGATCGGCCTTACGATTAAGCCTTCTTCAGATATACAATAATAAAAAAAACAGCTCGCCTTTTGACGAACAATTTCCGTTCCTTTTCCAACTGATCTCTCGTATTACGTATACAATGAATTCTAAGTTTAATACTACGATCTTTTCTTGATAACATCACTGCGTTTTTTATTATTGTATATCTGAAGAGAGCTTAATCATAAGGCCGATCGAAACATGTAATTTTGTATGTATATATTTTCAATCGATTATAGAATATAATAGTATTTATTATATGTAATATACTTTATCAATTTTTAATATAAAATTTTAAATTTTGACTCTTACATGCCCTTTTATATATTTATTGTTTATTTGAATTAAGAGTCCTTTGTTCTTATCAATTTTAAAATATAAATGATTTTCTATCTCAAATATACATTATATTAATGTTTATTAATTACAAATATTTTATATACAAATTTGTTAATTATAAGGAAATTATATAAATATCGATGAACTATGCTTTTCTGTGAGTTCTCTTGGCGTTCTGTTCTGGTGAATAAAATGTAATACACTAAAATAAAAATCTGTATTATTTATATATTTTTTACACATAGTTTTATATATATATATATAAGTTAAAACAAAAAAAAACCCACCTGTTGATCTAGAAAGCTCATGAGATTAGGCAACTTGCATTTAAATCCATGTGTTTGCAACATACAACGCAAATGATCAATATTCACTGGTTCATATTGTAATATTTTATTATGTAAATCTTTATTAATATTGATTAGTTTCATAAAGGCTTCTGTAATATTCGATGAATTCTCCAGTACCGATGATGACTCGGTTTCATAAAATTCCATTTCTTTGTTGAGTGTTTCTTTTGTAGGACTTACACTATCATTACTGTAATAGATATGTTATTTTTTTATTATATCTATAAAATGTCATATTATGTTAAAAAGATTAATCAATATTTACATTAGATTTACCTATATTGAGAACAAGGCAATTCATTTTCACTGTCTTCTGAATTGCTTGATTTTTCCAAACTGTTATCATCCACGTTTCGTTTCTTCGGTGGAGGTTCCTCATCTTCGTCGCTCGAAATTTCAGTGACCTGCTGTTTTATAGTTTTCTCAGGTACTAAAGGATGAAGTTCATTATAAATGTGCGTTAATAATTTTACAGCTCTACTACGTTTTTGTACCTTTAATCCGTATTTCTTCATTTCTTTCTAAAAATTAATCGCTCGTTAAAAAAGAAAATATTTTCAATTATAAAAGTTTATCATTTTCAATCAACTTACATGTAATTCAGGAGTGTTCATATCGTTGTAAACAGGCGGAGGTGTAACATCTTTATCAGTTATTTTAGGCGTTTTTGCGTTTCCAATGTTCTGAATGTAATTACATTGAAACTGTCTGGATATATTTGTAGATGTTGTTCCTTGATTACGTAATCTATTTGTGTTAATCTGTCCCTCAGATAAAGATTTCCTTTTAAATTTCTTAATACTTGTAAAATTTTGAGTCGCAACATTATTATCTAAATTTCCATAATCATTTGCTGCTATATCTTTCCCTTTGATATTTTCATGATTATTTTTATTATTGCTTCTGCGTACACTATTATTAAATTCTCTCATACTTGATATGTTAAATGATCGACTCTTCTCCAAAATATGTTGTTTCTCATATTTATCAATATCAACATTTGCAAGATATATATCGTCTTCAAAATCAAGAGAAAAATTGGCTGACTTTCTTAATGTACAAGCCTCTAATCCTGATACATTTTCGGTACAGAGTTTACCTTGGAGCAAGCTTTCCATATGTAGAATTGGACTGCAGCTTTCATTATTTAAAAAATCTGGGCTAGAAGATACCATAATCGGACTTGGAATAGATTCCTTTTTCTGAGCATCATTTAATTCATTTAATTTATATTTTTGTGTCACAGACGTTATCTCTGTAGTATTTAACTTATCCGGATTTGATTTTGCGCTATTAATATCTTTTTCTTCTTCCGAGTACGTCATTGCTTTTAAAAATTTGTTAATTTCGAAAGATTGACTGTTATTTTCATTTGTCGTATCCTGTTCGTTACTTTCTATTTCTTTTCTAGATTGTTGCAGAGAATGAGATATGATATTTTCGCGGTTGGAGTCATTGTTCTCTAAGATGTGACTAACATAGGAAGATATACTTTCAACATCTGAATCTGATGAAATAATTACATCCACATCTTTTTGTGTCAAAACAGATTGAGTCAAAATGTCATCTTTTTCAGGCTCACTGACATTACTGTCTTCATTATGCGAATCGGATAATGTATTTTTATTAGACAGATTATTATCTGATTTATTTCTATTGATTGCTCTTCGATACTTTGCTATGCTATTATCCTTGTGATCTCTCATGTATTTAGAATACATAGAAATCTCTTCCTCATTCGTTTCTATATCAAAGATGGTTTCGGTAAGCGATCGATTTATTGTTTCAGTATATTGTGAACATACTGCTGGTACAGTTGTGACTTGTTCTAAAACATTTTTCTCATCTGACGAAGTAAAGTTTTGTGTACAATTCAATATATTATTATGAGAAGATTCTATTATCTTTTTAGACAATATAGAATCTATGTGGGAATTATTAGTCTGTTTAACATCTTCTACATCTTCATTAGAAAGACGAGAATAAAATTCTGGATTTTTGGCAGCATATGACTGCATACGCTGCTCTATTATAGATAATCTACCGGGTTTTTTCTCTGTATCAACTGATTGTTCAACATCATTATCATAAGATTGAAGATTGGAGTTATCGTGTTTGTCTATACAAAATGGATTCTTATGCTTTATAGGAGATATTTGTACAGAACATTCCATCTCTGTGGCATTTATCAACGCATCCGATTCCGCATTTTCCTTCTGGATTTCTTCGATAAATAATGTGAGATTACTTTTTTGTTTTGTTACTTTCGAAAGGCGATCTTGGCTACATCTTGATTTACTACTTTCGGAAGTATCAATTAAAAAATTTTTATGCATATTATCGGTAGAAAATTTCAGAGAATTTGATTCGACATCTGGATCAATTTCTACGCTTTGTTTCAAATTTTTCAAACAGGTAGACGTACTTTTGTCTAACTCTAAACATTCTGCGTTCTGGGATTTTGCAGTTGATAATTTTTGACTACAAATATCAACATCTGCATCTTGTTTGAGCAAATTCAATAATACATGAATATTAGAATCTTCCAAATCTTTAGAGTGTACTGTGGATTTATCACTGTGCTTCATCACAAACGTCTCATCAAACATATCAGGAGATGCACTAGTTTCTCGTTTTGCAGATGTGTTGCTCCTGAAATTCATTTCCTCTGATAATTTCATTGAAGTATCTTTTTCGTTTTGCAAAACGCACAAGTTCTTTACAGATGCGTAATTATTTTCAAGAAGGTGTAAATCATCATTAACACTCCCTTGTAATAGCGTTTTCTGAGAGCATGGAATGTTTTTCACAATATCATGCGTACAATTTGATGATTTATTGAAAGATTTATTTAATTTTGAAACATTGAAAGTTGTTTCTATATTTGGATGTACATTTTCTGTACTTTTTTCATAAGTATTATAATTATGTTTAACTTCTGCTACAGATTTAGATTTCTTTTGACGCAAATAAACAAATAAATTATATATTTTGTATTTTCTTCCTAAAGCTCTAATACTAGATAAAGTTATCTGAGAATCAAGTATTTTTGAATATTTATTGATTACACCACAATAAACAAATTCTAAAAAGGCCATGGCGACATCATAATCTATATCAAGCCAACAAATTTTTTCTTTTGCAGTAGAGAATTCTGTATCATTAGAAATTACATCGAGTAAAATATTTGCGCAACGTGTGTAGAAAACCAACTTATGCGTCCATATGTATCTGCTATTTCTAACGAACACAATAATATCACTTGCAGAACTATCATTTAGTATATTTCTCCAACTTGTAGCTAAATCGTCAAGGAATTGCATTTCTTTGCAACATATATTAACAGTATTTGAAGAGATTGTTAATTCTTCATTATTGTCCGTTGTTTTTATAACGTCCTGTATTTCTTTTATTTCTAGCATTTGTTCATTATTTAAAGATCTTTCGTTGTTTAATTCCATAAGTTTTATAACATCCTTCTCTTCCTATAAAGCACAACACTGTTATCTTTTAAATATATTATTA